GGTGGTGTATTCATCTGCAGAGTCTCTGCCGTCTGCCAGTGTTTTTTTTTTTTTTTCATTTTCTTATTATTTTGCTGTGTTCAGGACATTCCCGGGCACAGCACACAAGTGAGGTTGGACTTTATAAACAGCAAACAGAATGCATCCAAGAGGAAATTGCCGACACAGTGCTAAAAATAAAGCAAATACAGCAAAGTGAAACGCCAAATGGACAAAGCTGGAGTTGTCTTTCACTTTTGCTGGTGATGCTGTTCACAAACAGTAACTATAGTATATCTTTACTTACTTTCTACCACTTTCCCCTTCCACTGAGTCCATCAGTTCAACTCCAGTCACACACACACATGTTTATGAGGGGGAACATCACATATTCATACCTACTGCCATGAACCTCCCTTACATGTTTTTTTAAGGGAAGTTGATGCAAACAATAGTTCATCATCAGCAGTATAGTGTGAGCTGCACAGGGGCTCTTTCAGTTAGAGAGTGCTGACTTGATGAAAGAACGCAGCCGCCGGTGGCCGATTGCCAGAACAGCAGGTGACATGGCGATGAAGATGATGTTGGCAAAACGAGCAATGACCAGTAGAAACTCCGCTGAGGAGCCACGGTTGTAGTTGAAATAGTTGACAGAGATAATGCTGGTTCCCCAGGATGCAATGAAAAGCATTATGAGTGCGAGAATCACCTGGAGAAACACACAACACAAAGATTCAGGGAATCGGTACTGATGAATTACGTTCACTTTGCCTCGAATAAAAAAGTAAAATAAGTGATGTACATGCTCGTCTGTCCCATAAATGAGTTATCAGTGCTGCTGTAGATGAAACATTACTCTCCATCTACATGATAAACATGGCTTCACGGCCTCTTCCTCACCTTGGCTGCTCGTCTCTCAGCAGGCACCCGTTTAATGACAGGTGCATCTTGCACCGAACTCCGCATCCTGCTATGGGTGTAGAGTGTGTAAAGGGAGCCCAGGTTGGTAAAGGCCATTAGTATTATGGGAATTGTTTCATGGATCACCATAGATGTGGTAGCATAGGCCAGGCCACTGTAGCTGGAAGGAAAGTTCCACACGCAGCCCAGCAGGGGGCGCGTTGTGCTGCTCACCAGCATCAGGGTCTAAGAGAGGAGGAGGGAGATGGAGGAGTGGAGGAAAGAGGGTGGAACATTATAGTCAGCGATTTAGGGAATTCTCACCATAGAAAAACATCTGCTATTTCATATATTTTAAAAAATTTCAAATATTTTATGGCTGATGTGTTTGAAATTTAATGCAGATCTCTCACTTCAGATGAAGTGTATTACACTGCTGCTCTAAATGATTTCAGTATTTTCTGGACCACATGTCAGGGGAGAGATTAATGCAGCAAAAAGCTTGAATTCCCTTGATATTATCAGGAACCTATCCACATGTTAAACATTTTTTTAAATTCTTAATTTATTTAAATTCAGTACTTTTTGCAGGATTAACGGACCATCGCATGTGTGTGTATATACAATCAAACCGTGTTTGTTCCACATTAAATCTTTTTTGTGTACCATACACTGTTTCATACCAGTGTTTTTGCAAGTCTTAACTCCTATAATACAACAGAACATTATTACCAAGTGCCAACCTCCGGGCCTGAAAGATGAAGCCTACACTTAAGTGCCACAAACTGCAGTTCCTTGAAGGGCCACTTGAGGCTGACTCCAAAACAGTCTCAATCCCCATATATTCCCATGTTAAAATGCTCAACTTCACAGTAGAAATAAACATGTTTATAGCCTGGAACAAAAACAGTTTTGTTTGGTTTGGTTTTGATTTGGTCTCTAAGGCTAATTTCCCCCTTCATGATAACTGTGTGGGGGTAATTTTTTTTCACAACCATTTCAATTTTTATTAAGGCTTAAAGTTATGCATGGCCACTTTGAGTGACAGGAGGATTCGGTCCATTACCATGGCGGCACTGTTGATTAGGTAACATAAACATGCCATAACCCCAGATTCACAAAGTGTAGGCATAGTTGTAGCCGTTGCTTTTTCAGCTCATGAAGGTAACTAACATCTTGGTCGCCTAAAAAAGTCTTGTTTAGTGTTTGGTTGTACTGAAAGACCCTCTAAGGTCTTGGATATTCATGTTTAGTACATTTTGTTTAATGGTTTTAGGATAGCAAAAATTAGTATTAGCATTATCACAGTTAACCATAGCTGTAAATGCACCGTGCTAACCAAGCTAGCTGCTAGCCTTAGGGTTAGCTCCACACTGTTGCCCAAATCATAGATTTTAATATTAACAAGGACCCCAAGATGGCACCTCTTCATTCCAATGTAGTTGCTCACCTGGCGCATATGCCAAAAAAGTTTTCAAGCTTTCAGGTTTACTTCCACAGTATCCTCCTAAATATGCACAGTAGTGTTTCTCCAGCGGGCCCCGCCCACGAGTTCCTGCTCAGTTCATAGTCTTTACATTGTGATGATGTCACAGATTTTTAAATTGCTTTTTTCAGCTCCAGTAAATTTTAACAAATATAAAACTACCATGGCTCAATATATTGGAATGATAAGATTCACAACTGAACTTGTTTGCAGTTCGAACTGTCCTGTCATCAGTTTTACAGATCTCTTTTATAATGTTGGCCTATGAGGAAAACGCTTCTTTTTTGCTGTAAGGCCAAATGCTTTTCGGGGGGCCTGGTCCAAATTTGATCACTTCTAAAAATTTAAAATAGGGATAGTCAGAATTCCAAACTTAAGGCTTTAAAAGGGGAGTTCACAAACCAATAGGTGACGTCATATTGGCTTTGTCCATTAAAAAAAAAATACAATCTATGTAATTACTTTAACAACAATAAATACGATTGATGTTTACTGTGATGGGTCACACAATGGAAGCAGGTTTCTCTGTGTTGACAGACATCCTGTACATAAATAAATGGAAACCAGCCTCTAATAGAATAAAAAGTAAATTAACATTTCTAAAACAAAGCAGCATGGTGTACAAAATGACCAGCTGTCATGTGAAGTGTACATGATGATGTACAAAACAGGTGTGGTCCTATAACTGAATTCAATGCATCTCACCTCTGTGCTGTTAATGTCCCCATTAGTGGAAAAGATATGAGCAGGAATGGAGTAAATAAAGTTGACAAGCCAGATAAGGGCCAGACTCAGCATGAGGGTCTTAGGAAGGCCCCGGGGCCCGTGAAGGCTCCCAATGGTAGGAGCCACACGCCTCAATGTCTGGAGGTGGAACGCACTGAGAAAGAGCGTTGACCACACATTGACTGATCGCAGCCACACCCAGACACCCATAAGGAACTGACACCACTCTTTGGAGGAATACAGCTGTAAAAGAAAGAGACAGGTGTATAGTCACAAACTTTTGCTGACTAATATGATATACTCTCAATTTTCTCCAGGAGATACGAAGAGGTCTTTTTCTCAAACCTTACTGACTTTCTCCTTCACCTCATGTCTGCTTAACGTCTCAGCTATTTTAGGTTTGTGGAAGGAAAAAAACACAAACTTTCCAGACAAATCCTCCTCTTCAAAATCAACACACCCTTTGATCTAACTAGACAGTGACTCACTGGCAATCTTTAAAACAACTGATCCAAAAGACCACATACCTCGAGTCCCATGTCTGAGATGACAAGCAGCGTGTTCCTCATTACAGACACCAGCAGGTTGGACAGTGCCATGTTAATGATAATGATGTCTGAGTTCCGTCCCCCACCACGGTCCATTATTACACTCTTACCAATCACCGCAACAACGGTGGCATTACCCAGGATGCCCAGCATCACCAGGAGGATGTAAAAGGCAGTTTGTGCAGGGGACACAGAGACACGAAGTCCCATCCCCACCAGCTCTGTGTCTTCACCCTCCATGGGGCCGTTCATTTCAGCCATCGTCTCGACAACTTTGACTATGAAATTTTAACAGCTGATGAAAAGTCGTAAAGCATGTTCCATCTTCAGCTTACATCCTCCAGCATGCTGCCTACATGTTACACACCAGTACATTCACTCCACCTGTGCTTCTTGATCTTTGCAGGTGCAGTCAGCTAACTAAAGACACTCCCTCATGGGGCCAATGAAAGACAACGATCCCGTGTGTGTCATCACGACCAAAATCTGACAGCAGAGGTGTCTTTGTGGTACGGCCTGGTAAGACAATCCCTGTTAGGCTGCCAGAAAGCCAAAAAGCAACACAATGTTTTATGCCTTGGGGAGCTGGAGGAGCATGTTAATGAAACACAGGAGATTAATCAGTTTCCCTGAATGAAATGTGCTTTCCTCTGCAACTTGGTTGGTTTCACGGTCATCCTCTGGGAAGTGTGAGCCTTTTTGTATGTGTGCATGTATGTTCTTGCTTGTGGGTAGGTTTTCAGCAAAAGAACAAAACATAAAGGGTTTAAACTAAAATAAAGAATCAGGTGTGGAGATCAGTGACATCAGTGATTAAAACAATGCATGGATGTGTGGTGTGTGTGCTGTTAAGGTTTTGCAAGGTGCAACAATGCAGACAAATTTATTTCCCAACAAGTAACATGTCTTTTGCAGAAACGTACAACACCAACATTTTCCTCTGGCAACTGAATTGCTTTGTGAACAATTTAGGTTAGGTGTGTTTTGCCTGAACTTTTATTATTACCGCTGCAAAAATAGTAAACACACCAATGTCTTTACTATAATATTTGTACCAATAACACAAATTACATCAGTGAGTACTTTAATTGTCATTGAAAGGCCCTCTAAAACAGTGTTTCAGTCTTATCCATTACATCCTATCTGGGCAGATTGAATATGTTGCATGAACAGGGTTGTGTTTGTTCAAGTGAAGTGATAAAACAAATGTTAGTAACCTTTATTCATGCTAAAAGAGAATGTCACATGAGAAGACGTAATGAAATTCATTTACTCAGTTGGCACTTTCTGATTGCAGCCAACAGTCACTAGATGGCCCCATAAACAACCAGTTAGAGAGGACAAAACATTTGTAACACAGATTTTTTTTATTCCCTCCCAATTTAGAAAAAAAAAATCCAATGCTTGTGGACACTGTGCAAATACTTTAAATAGGAATCATCCTTCTCTTGTCTTTTAATTTGCCTAGAGAAACATTTTACCAGACAAACCCGGCCACAAATTCAACAGCATATTTAGTTAAACACAAAACAAATAGTAACAATATATATAAATATATTTATTCACAGTACATATTCTCTATCAGCACTTAATACTTATGGGCACTGTACAGAAAGTACAGAAACAGGATGCAGATACAATTTGGAATTCAGTCTTATCTACATAGCCGGTAACATATAATACAACAGTTATCTTCAGGCACCACACCACTCTGTGTTGTCTCACTGCCAGTAACGCAGAAACACACCTGACTGATTTTATACCGCCTGTGTGGCACACGACACAGCTGCTAAATGTACATCAGTGAAACCAAGAGACAGTCATAAAGGTGTCTGTTCAGACATAAAAAAAGCTTTTTCTGAGTTATTCATGCTTGAGTTTTTCCATATAATGAACAAAATGACAGAAAACAAGCAGACATTTGGTCATATACTAAAAAAAATTCCAAAATATTTGCCAGCATGTATCACTACAATGATTTGTTGCCTGCATCCCCTACATGGATTTGATAACTCTGTGTGTAGCAACAACTTTTATATCAAATCATTTAGACAAAAATGAACACTGCTTTTATAAGTTTCAAAGGATGAATTAGCATCAATTTGAGAAAAAGACTAACACGCAAGGTCGCAGTCCTCTAACATGGCATTCAAAGCTTCTTCAGCTTCAGGCTAAACAAGACATCATTAAATTGAAAACATTATGTCGTATTAAGGTTTAAAGGGGTTAAGGAGACCTGTAGCTCTGTAGTTCCAGACCTCCGAATTGATGCTCACATCACATTGTCTCTTTTTCACCAATTTAAACGAAGTGAAAACTAAATGCAATTATGTGGTTCAGCATCTCAGGTCACAGTTTATCAGGGCACTTGTGTTTTTAATTGCACAGCTTTTGCTCTACAACACACAGTGTTTTGTGGTTTATGGTACCTCAAATATTTGTACTGATAACATGTAATTTCCTCAAGCTTATCTTGTGTCAGGCATTGTAACCAAATCTCCATTCAGACTATAGTCATTTCTCAGATGAGCCAAGCCTTGACCCAGAAACATATCATTTACTGCTATAGAAGGTCCAGTGTGTAGGATGTAGGAGGGTATTATGGCAGAAATGGTATATAAGATTCATAATAATGTTTTCATTTGTGTATAATTCCCTGAAACTAAGAATCACTGTGTTTAAGTTACCTTAGAATGAGCTGTTTGTGTCTACATATGGAGCGGCCCCTCTCTCCTTGAGTCCGCCATGTTATTTCTACAGTAGCCCAGAATGGACAAACCAAACACTGGGGCTGTTATTTAGTACGATAAAATAGTATGTGAGATTTTTTAAGTATGCCCAAAACCTTAGCATAAATATCCCAAAATGCAATGTGTGGAGGACAACGTTTAAAACGGACAGCAATTGAGACAGCTTTGTAACTAAATGACTCAGTGTAACTATGCAGGAAGTCTAAGATTTGACTTTGCTAGGCGTAATATAGTTTTAAAATTGTTTTTATATTACCGATAGAGCTGAGGTTGGCACAGGTTACCATGGTCATGTGTCTCCAACCTAGAAGAAGGCTTTCAGGAAATCACGTGGTAAATACAGCTCAGTGTGTCTGAAAAGACGCATACTACTGGGTGTTTCTGCAAAAGTATGTTGAACACAGTAGCGTACGATAGATAAGATGGGCCCAAGTGCGCCGTATTTTGACGAGACCGAGTGCCATATTTTGCGCCGAAACAACTACCGTATGTTTTATAGTATCGTCACATGATCAAATACAGATTTGACGTTGGACAACATCAACACATTTTACCAATCAACACTGCAAATCTGTGTATGACAAAAAAAACAAATAAGATAAGAATTTATTCATTAAATGGATTTTTCGAATAATTTATTTTTGGTTTATATACATTCATTCATTAATTTCCCGTAACTGCTTATCCTTTTGGGGTTGCGTGGGGGCCGGGGCCTATCCCAGCTGACATAGGGCAAGAGGCGGAATACATCCTGGACGGTCACCAGAGTAACGCAGGGCAGTAGATGACAGCATTTGTATTTTAATGTGTATTTGTCTTTGAACACAGGCATATCTCTGAGGTGGCAAGTTGAATCACTTCCAAGGGCCCGCTCTCTGCTCTTGACAGACACTCTCGCTACGGGCCCCCCCCCACCCCATGAGTCCTAGTGCAACCACACTGCCTGTAGTGTCTATACACGCCCCTGGTTGAACAATAGTACACATCAGATTGGATGTGTAGTGCATATTATGTAATTTCTGAAGGGGTGTGGCTCTAGATGCATCCATTCACGTTTTTGCATCAGCCACCATAGTTCTCCTACACACTTGACACACAGGAGAAGATTCAGTTGGTTGCAATCTGCAACCTCATCACTAGATGCCACTAAATCCTACACACTAGATCTTTAAAACTTGTGACGGGTGATGTCAGCAATTCTGATGAGCAGGACCGCTGGAAAGGAAAATACAGAGCAGGGCAACACTTTACATTTACCACGTTAAGAACTTTCAACGAGGAAAGAGCATTTTCATGTAGTTTCAAGTAAATACAGCTGTAAATATGTAACAGTCCAGTTTAAGAGAAGGCTGACATTACAGACTGTTAATCATAATAATAAATAATAATTGGCAATATCAGAAATTCCTCACACAAACTGTGAACGCTGCCTACCAGCATTCTCTGTAACTGTTTATGTTCCTGACTGATATGTGAGAACAAATGTGTGGTGCTGCGGTGCGCAGCCTTCCTGCAAAGTTGATGATAAAAATTAATAATTATGCCAGATTTTTCTCAGCCATTGTGTGGACAGAGGGCTGGAGTTATGCGATAAAGCCTTTTCAGTCACTGTAATTCATTTCAAGATGAACATTTTAACATAGAATAATAATATTCATAATAATATTCAGTCCTGCACAAGTTATCAAGTGCATCCAGTACTCAAAATGCTCCATTTCACCCACTGCTTTTGCTCCAGCTGCCTGATTGCTGCAGACTCTGGTTGTTAACCCCGCTGCCTGGTATCTATCAGAGAGACGAGACAAATGGGAAATTACACTTCCTTTAATGAACCAAACCCACAATGTATAAACATAATTGCAGGAATTAAGAAAAAAGCAGATAATAATAGTCAGCTCAGCCAACCTGTGTGTCTCTCTGCAGTGCAGCAGAGCCCGTCTCCTCGGCCTGAGCTGTAGACCGGGGACACACACACTCGACTGCTTGGTGCGAGGTGTGTGAGACGTGTTGAAAGAGAACTAGGAGGCAGGTAGACGGAGGAGATGGAGGGCTTCGAGGAGGATCTGTGAGAGTTTTCTTTCTCCCAGCTCAGCCAGTAGCCTTTCAAACCTTCCTGATGGGCCTTCCACGTTACCTGCACCTCCTGACGCTCCACTGGGGTCAGCTTAAGGTCAGTTAAGGCTGGCAGAGCTGCTGCAGGAGAAAAAAACATAGTGGAAAGCAAGGGAAAGGTTTAAATGGCCTGATCAAATGAAGCTGATGCAGCATCTAAAAGTAGCCATGATGCATGAATGGACTCTAAAGGTCAGCCTTCAATAAAGAGAAACAAACAGAACAAATGCTTTTAACTGAAAAAAACAAACAAATTACCTGGAGGGGAGAACGACTGAAAGACACAAAAACATACAAACCTCAAACTGAAAACGTACCCTCTTGAGTGCATGCCCTCACAGACATGGCTCTTTCTTTTCCGTCCACATACAGAGCGCTGACTGTGACCAGGTACTGAGTGCCCGGCTCCAGGCCTGTCAGTAAGGTAGAGTTCTGCTGGCTGGGTAAGGTCACGGTGCGGACGTGTCCACTTGGAAAAGCTCCATACTCCACCGTGTATCTCTGGACTCGAGCCGGTTGCAGGGGACCCCAGCCCACACGGATCTGACGAGGGCCAGAGTCTGACACAGAGACCACTGCAGGGCTTAAAACATCTGAGACGAACAGAGGCGGAGGGGGGACAAGAGACACAGGTGAGATGGTGACTGGCTGCAGCAAATTAAGGTCTGTTATAATGGATTTAGCTCCAAACCTAGTGTGCACCTGTTGAGTTGAATGAAATAATATCATACTTAATGGGAAACTTTGGTATTTTCTAACCTGAACTCTGTTTTCCCACTTTGATGTGTCTAAGTGACTAATGGAGACAACAATTTTTAAAATTAGTCCAGTTCTGAGAGAGACCACTCCAGCTGCAGCGGTGAAAAAGCTACTAGTAATCCCTAGTGGCAGCAGAGAGCCATCAATTTCCGTCGTTTTTCCACTGACAGTCTCAGATCGTTGTTGCAATTGTCTGACAACATTATGGAAATCTGAGAAATGTTCAGCCATGGCATTGAAAACAATAATCTACACTTTCTATACACCAACACAACAAACTCTTCCTGGCACTCCTCACTCCAACTCTCACCAACAATTCCACCGTTGTTTTTCCTGCAGCAAGTCTCTTCTCACAAGATTTCAGAACGAGACTTCTCCTTGGGTGAGATTTGGTCACAGTAACAAAAAGACCAGTAAAAGGTATGAAAAAATGTTTTATCTCTCTGTAGGATCTTTTCAGTCATGTTGTCAGAGACTCCTAATCACAGTAGCATTGTTTCCACTTTCAGTATGGTACCTTTGGAACCAAGAGTGACCCTTCATGGTATCTAGACCCTAGCGTTTCCACCGCAAACAGTACTCTTATATGTGGGCGGGGTTGTTGTCACTGACTGCTCCGTCCAGCACTCACTGTATTTCCTCCTTCATCAGTCTGCACCTAGTTTATTGTCCACAGAACGAGGCTCCACGCTGACATTTTCAGAACAAAATAAAACAGGCTGCAGTGAGAGTCTCTCTCCATGGGATATGTAAAAATAGCGGGTTTATACATTTAATCCTTCTAAGACAAACTCAGGGGTTTAGTGTTGCCAGCGCCCACAGGATGCTCAGAGTGAGAAGGTGCAGTTCTCATAACCCAGTTATTTTTTACTTCCGACAACAGCTGCTGCGAGTGGCAGCAAAACATCCTTTTATAGTCATCATTTTATAGTTACAGTTTACTAATAAAACTCTCCACAGTATGAACAGTGGGTACATGAGCCTCAAAACCAGCCACAGCTCAGCCCTGAGCAGAGTGACCGTCCACTGTTGACCAATCAACAGACTGCAGTGTTCACAGCCCCACCTTTTAGTACCAGATCTGTGCGCTAGGTACCCCAACAGAGGGGTGACCAAAAATGAGGACGGTAGGGAACAGTTGTGGTACCATTCACAACTTTTCACAGTGGAAACAGAAAAAAAAGCGTACCGAACTGAACCGTACCGTACTGCTCGATGGAAACAGGGCCAATCTGAACCTGTCAGAAAAACAAATACTTTTAGTGGATGTAAATGGATGGTGCACAATTGCCCGTAGTGATTACATTAACACCAGTATTAGCTTTTTTGATGGCGCTCAATTGCCTATAGGGATTACATTTTAGCTTTTTTCACCGCTGCAGCTTAAGTGGTCTCTCTCAATACTGGACCAGCTTCAAAAGCTGTTTTTTTACCATTAGTCACTTAGACACAAAAACATGGGAAAAAAAGGGTCCCTTTGATACAAACTCTAAATGTCAGACAGGAAACAGAAAAAAATGCTGTAAAAGGCTCTCTAATGGCATGTTTGTTGTCTAGAAACAAACCATCAACCTTCTTTGGCATGTAGTCAGCCTGCTGTATGACTGGATCTCCAGTTTTGTTACATATTTCTATCGTAAGAATGGAAATTCAAACATCTACAATTCACTGACAATTGAGAAAACTAAGATTGAATACTAACAGTAAAACTAACAGAATGGATTTTTATCTCACTTATTTCTGTCTAGTTTTTCCAGTCTTCTATTTTTTGCCATGAGTGAAGTATGTGTTTTTTTTAGTGCTTTACAGGATTATCAAGACACATGTTTATAAAAGGGAAATCTCTCTAAATCCTCTCACCAGGAAGTGTGGTGAAGTTAACAGAGAGTGTGTTGAACAGCCTCTGGTTGGACTCTGGGTGCAGGGTTGCTGTGTAGGTGGTATCAGGCTGCAGGTTGGTCAGCTCCACCCAGCTGGAGTCGCCTGGGAGAACCCGTCTAGTTTTAGTGTCTGTTTCCTGCATAGAGTTGTAAGAGAGCTCATAGTAACCGCTGTCTTTGGTCAGAACGGGACGCCACTGCAGCACGGCACTGTGGGAAGTCAAGTGAACAACGCGCAGCCGTTCTGCACGAATTATTTCTGTAGATAACATGACAGGAAAGAGAGGGGGGGGGGCATGGTGAGATAAAATGTAGAAACTGAATCATTTTACAGTTAAATATCACTTTTCTGTCTGTCTAATATCTGCCATGGATCCACTGCTTCTACTGTGCTGAACCTCACATGTCAAACACAGACATACTGATAATGGCCTCCCTCAGGTCCTCTGTGATGATGTCAATGCTCTCTATGTCCACAAAGTAGAGGTGAGACTCCACTGGAGGTGTCACTGAACGCAGTAACAGCTGGTAGTTGGCATGTATTGTAGAAACAGCTAACACATAGACTCCCCGCGCCTTCAGCTCAGACATCAGCTCTTCCACGTCTCCAGGCTGCACACCATCAGTCAGCCACAGCAGTATCTTTGGCACATCCTCGTCTGTCTCTGTCAAAAGCCGCAGGGCCACTCTTAGCGCCTCCTCAGTGTTGGTGTCTCCCTGCAGCTGCCTTACACTCTGCAGAGCTTTCTGCAGACTGTCTTGATTGTTGTGGACGTCGAGGTCGAATTCCAGGTTCGGCTTTGTGCCCACCTGCAGCAGCCCGATTCTTACGTGCCCACGGCCCAGTGAGAAGGGGCGAAACAGCTCGGTGGTGAAGTGCAGCAGGCGCACGAACTCGTAGTTTGCTACACTTCCTGAAGAATCCAGCAGAATGAGTATATCCCCTTCACAGCAGTTCAACACTGTGCACAACAAGAAGAAAAACAGAATGGTCATTTCAATATGTGGGTCATTGTTGTTTTGAATGACAGCTTTACTAGTTTTTAACATTTATGCCACCATACAGCATTCAAACCTGCACTGACTAATTTATTTATTTATTCATGGCCTTTTGGGAGCTGTCAACATGAAATATAATTATGTTAACATGCCGATCTTGTTAGCAAACAGTTGCATTACACACCCAGGAGATACAGAGCAATGTAAGCATTCATTTGGAGCAAGTGGCAATGTCCGGGGCTGAAAAAAGAAGCCATCACAGAAGTGCAAAACACGCAGTTTCCTGAGTGGCCACTTGAGTCTGGCTCCAGAAGCGAGCCAACCCCCATAAATACTCACGTTAAAATGCCCAAAATTACAGCAGAAATAAACACGTTTACAGCCTGGTGCTAATGGTCACTTTTGGCTCCATAAATCCAAGATGGTGACAAGACTCAAGGCTTCAAAACAGGAGTTCAGAAACCAGTATGTGATGTCATGGTGGCTAAATCCATTATTTTTATACAGTCTATGATTTGCAGTCACATTTCTGGCCAACAGGCAAATACAAGTCCAATATTTACTCTCATTTTAGCTCTTTGGCTGTTAAATGCTTCTTTGTGTTCCCCAGTCACTAATTTTCTCTGCTGTTTGTTGCTGGGTAGTATACTGTGTGTTTTTAGGGCTTTTGGCACAGCTGCCTACTGGGCCTGAAAATGGAGCTGATGAGAGCTGTGAGAGTGAATCAGAACAGTAAAGTAGCGGGCCGGGAAACCAAAACAAAGAGCTGAAAGACACTAACACTGCAGAGTCAAGTGATAATTCTCTGTGAGTTTGTCAACATGAAACCAATTTTTTTCATACACTTTTGTGTACGTGAAAAGTTAATTTGATCCATAAAAATATTAATAATAGCAGCTTTAAAGGTTCAGTGTGTAGGGTTTAGGGAGATACATTGGCAGGGATCGTCTCGTCTCGTCTCGTCTCATCGTCCTCCGTTTATCTGGGTCCGGGTCGCGGGGGCAGCAGCTTCAGCAAAGAAGCCCAGACAGTCCTCTCCCCAGCCACCTCCGTCAGCTCTTCCGAGGGAACCCCGAGGCGTTCCCAGGCCAGCCGAGCAATGTAATCCCTCCAGCGTGTCCTGGGGCAGCCCCGAGGTCTCCTCCCAGTTGGACATGCCCAAAACACCTCCCAAGGGAGGCGTCCAGGAGGCATCCTTACCAGATGCCCGAACCACCTCAACTGGCTCCTCTCGATGTGGAGGAGCAGCGGCTCTACTCTGAGTCTCTCCCGGATGTCCGAGCTCCTCATCCTATCTCTAAGGCTGAGCCCAGCCACCCTGCGGAGGAAACTCATTTCGGCCGCTTGTACTCGCGATCTCGTTCTTTCGGTCACTACCCAGAGCTCGTGACCATAGGTGAGGGTTGGAACTTAGATCGACCTGTAAATCTAGAGCTTCGCTTTCTGGCTAAGCTCCCTCTTCACCACAATGGACCGGTTAAGCGTCCGCATCACTGCTGACGCCGCCCCAATCCGCCTGTCAATCTCCCACTCCATCCTACCCCCACTCATGAACAAGATCCCGAGATACTTAAACTCCTCCACCTGAGGCAGGACCCCCCCTCTCCGACCTGGAGTGGGCAATCCTTTTCCGGCTGAGGACCATGGCCTCAGACTTGGAGGTGCTGATTCTCATCCCAGCCGCTTCACACTCAGCTGCGAACCATCCCAGCGAGAGCTGGAGGTCACTGTTCAATGGAGCTAGGAGGACCACGTCATCCGCAAATAGCAGGGACGAGATCCTCCCGTCACCTAACCTGCCACCCTCCACCGCTCGGCTGTGCCTAGAAATTCTGTCCATGAAAGTTATGAACAGAACCGGTGACAAAGGGCAGCCCTGGCGGAGTCCAACCCTCACCAGGAACAGGTCCAACTTACTGCCAGCCACGCGAACCAGACTCGTGCTCCTTCGGTACAGGGACTGGATGGCCCCTAGCAGAGGGCCACCAACCCCATACTCCCGGAGCACCCCCCACAGGATGCCCCTGGGGACACGGTCGTAAGCCTTCTCCAAATCCACAAAACACATGTGGACTGGTTGGGCGAACTCCCATGCCCCCTCCAGCACCCTGGTGAGGGTAAAGAGCTGGTCCACGGTTCCGTGTCCAGGACGAAAACCACATTGCTCCTCCTCAATCTGAGGTTCAACTATCGACCGGACCCTCTTCTCCAGCACCCTGGCGTAGACCTTACCGGGTAGGCTGAGGAGCGTGATCCCCCTGTAGTTGGAACACACCCTCTGGTCCCCTTTCTTGAAGATGGGGACCACCACCCCGGTCTGCCATTCCAGAGGCACTGCCCCCGATGTCCACGCAATGTTGCAGAGGCGTGTCAGCCAGGACAGCCCTACAACATCCAGAGCCTTGAGATATCCAGGGTGAATCTCGTCCACCGCGTAGTTCCTTCACTACCTCGGCGACTTCTGCCCCCGAAATTGGATGACCCTCCCCCGAGACCCCCGGCTCTGTTTCCTCACTGGAATACGTGTTGGTGGGATTGAGGAGCTCCTCAAAGTATTCCTTCCACCGCCCGACAATGTCCCCAGTTGACGTCAGCAGCCCTCAGGACGCGGTCGAAGCTCTCCCGGAGGTGGGAGTTGAAGATCATCTTGACAGGTTCTTCCGCCAGGCTTTCCCAGCAGACCCTCACTGCTCGTTTGGGCCTGCCAGGTCTGCGCGGCGTCCTCCCCTGCCACCTGATCCAACTCACCACCAGGTGGTGATCAGTTGACAGCTCTGCTCCTCTCTTCACCCGAGTGTCCAGAACATATGGTCGCAGGTCAAATGATACGACTACAAAGTCAATCATTGACCTGCGACCTAGGCTGTCCTGGTGCCACATGCACCAATGGACATCCTTCATCCAGCATTGGCAGGGATATTGAATATAATGATAGATACCTTTTCATTCATTTATAGTCACCTTAAAATAAGAATCATTGTGTTACCTACCTCGTTACCTTAGAATGAGCCCTTTATATCCACACAGGGAGCAGGTCCTCATTCAAGGAGTCTGCTATGTTTTAACACTATATTTCTACAGTAGCCAAGAATGGACAAATCAAACACTGGCTCTAGACAGGGCCATTCACATTTCCTCTGCAAGGCTCTGAAGAGCATCGAACAAACACTGTGCTGCAACATAAAACTGCTTTATTCAGTGTTTTTACTGGTTTTAATCATCTGGTACATGCTTGGCACATAGGAGAAGTTTCAGGTGGTTGCAATCTGCAGTCCTCACCACTAGGTGCCACTAAATCCTACACAATTCACCTTTAAAGTAAAGCATCACCCCCTTTTTAGACACAGGATCAAAGTCAATGAGCAAGATTTTAATTAATGGTTAACATAGAATTTTCATAAAACATTGGGATTTATGAGGTGCCTACCCTAAAGGACATCAGAAACTTTTGGCAGTGATGAATCATCCCTTCATGACGATATTAATATCTCAGCCATGAAAGAGAAGGGACACTGATTTAAGGCACCGTGGGTGAGATTATAAAGAATGAAAGGCAATAACAGGTAAATGAGGCGTCTTGTTTCATGCACAGTGCTGAAATCCTGGGAACAATCTGCTCAGTGTTATCAAAACATGTCAAAAAAATATTGCACTGAGAATATTTAGATGGAGCTATGCAGCAGAGGATTTATGATAGCAAAGACTAAAGAGAATGGGTGAGTTGATTTGTCTTATGAAACCAGAGTGAGATTTACATTGCCAGTAAATAAGTGACAGAAAAAAAGCAGCACAGAGAGAAAATGAGAAAGAGCATCCCACATATTGGGGGCTCTCCACTTGAATGAACATACACTGGTTTTCCCATCTTCACCTTTCATCATTTCTCAGAAGCAATTGTGCTTCATTTTGACGTCAAGAAGTCGTCTTAGTGGAATAATTTTCCACTAAGAACCATTTCTACCCTCAAGCATCATCCTGAACAATCACGTATGTGTCCAGTATGTTGGTGACTCACTCTGGAAACCACTGAGTGTGATAATCTCCCTCGCTGCAGGTGACTTTTGGTACATTTGCTACCAACAGGTCATAAAATTAGAGATGCACTGATTGTGAAATTCTGGAACAATAACGATATTTATAATAACAATTTGTCCGAGAACCAATACCAATGTTTTTTTGTTATTGCTGTTCATTTTGGTTTTGTTGTTTCCCCAGTTTTGTGCCATGGAAAAAAAAAAAACTAACTGTTTTAAAGTCATTCAGTCCCTTATTACAAAACCTTTGTATAAGCACAAATTAAATCATGGAAATTTATGCAACAACCTTTAATATAACCTTCTTTCACAAGAAATTTTTTTTTTTTTTTTTTTAAAAAGTACCTGCTTCAAAAGCCTTTTACGAAATATTCCCTCTCTTAGAACTATTTTATGTTGTTCAAACGAACTCAGTTTGAACGCATCATGATAAACTTACAATTTACCTTCACCAAATACTAATTTTAACTGAACAGAACTTGGACATACCACAAGGTATCTTAATCATAGGTTTATAACAATAACTAGATACCGGATCCCAAGATGGCGCCTATTCATACTCACCTGACACATACAACAAAAAAATTCTAGCTTCCAGGTTTACTTCCGTGGTATGCGACCCACTGAATATGAGTAGTAGTGCTTCTCCCACTGGCCTCACCTGCAAGTTCCCACTAGGCTCATAGACTTCACATTGTGATGACTTCTCAGGTTTTCAAATGGCTTTTCTCGAAAAGTAAGGTTTTACAAATATAAAACCACCATGGCTCAAAAATTCATGATAGTAAGAGTCATACTTAAACCTTGGCTGCAGTTCGAGGGTCTGTCAACAGTTTTACAGGTGTGTCTTTTATAATGGTGGTCTATGAGGAAAATGGGGATTTTTTTCACTGCAATACCACGAGTGGCCACTGGGAAAAATTGGCTGC